GTTTGATATGGAAGGCTATAAGTTTAAGATGCAGAGTGGGAAAGGAAGGCTTACTGACATCAGGGTGGGTGGAGACTTTGATGAGAAGAGGTGAATCCTGAGAGACATGGAAGGCATCCACATATTCACATTATATGGGCAGGGGGGTACTAGATAACTGCCGGATTTGAGGGGCAAAGAATGGTACTAGGAGGCACAGGTGCTCTGAGAGGAGACTAGGGGTTTCCAGTTCGGCCAACCTCTTTCTCTTCAACGAGGCGGCCGAGCGGCAGACGCCAACATGCAGATCTTTGTGAGGGTGAGCCCAGTGACACCATTAAGAATGTCAAGGCCAAGATACAAGATAAGGAAGGCATCCTACCTGACCAGCAGACACTGATATTTGCCGGCAAGCAGCTGGAGGATGGCCACGCCCTGTAGGACTACATCAGAAAGAGTCCACCATGCACCTGGTGCTTCACCTTCATGGTAGCATCATCGAGCCATCCCTTCGTCAGCTTGCCCAGAATTGCAACTGTGACAAGAAGTGCGGCCACACCAACAACCTGCGCCCAGAGAAGAAGGTCAAATAAAGCTTCGGCCATACCTGGCCCATGACCCTGGGACTAAATAAAGTCCTCTTCCATTGACTGGGGGAAAAAAAAAAAAAAAAAAAAAAAAAAGAATGGTACTAGGAGTGTTGGAGAGAGCAGATGCTCTTCAGGATTCTGGATGGTGGCCACTGCAGAGCTCATCAGTGAAAGACCATGGGGAGGGTTGAATATTCATGCCCCATCTTAGAGGCCAGGGGTTAGGTTTGGCTTGAGTTGGACTTTCACCAAGCAAGTACTGGTAAGGGACAGGACAGATTGGTAATGTGAAAGAAGAAAACAACAGCTGTGAAAATGGAACTGAGAGGGAAGGGGCTGTGAGAAGGCTGTAGGGACGATGGGTGGCGGCCTGGAATTGTCACATTGTCACCCTGGACAAGGCAGGAGGAACTGGTTGGAGGCAGGATGCTCGAATGTCTGAGGTGGCATGGTACTTGGGAGTGGTGTCTGAGTGGAAGGTCTGAGGGTACGGGTACTGTGACAGCAGACACAGAGGACTTGAAGCCAGAGCTTGTGTTGTGAGGGGGTGATGGAGATGGAGAAAGAGTCTACAGGTGATGGCCAGGTCTTCAGAGAGCTGGTGAGATAGTCTGAAGGGCACCGCAAGAAGCAAGGATAATGTTTCTGTTCTAGGCATTTAGGTTTGGTGGCATAGGAGAGGAAGCACAGCAGCCTGAGAGCTGTGATCAGTAATGATGGTGATAGCAAGTGCTGTTGGAAGTGGCAGGTTCAGTAAAAGGAAGACTGGCCACTTGCAGACATGGGACTGGGGGTAGCAGGTGGAATATGCACCTTGAGGATTTCTGGTTCTGGGGTATCCTTGGAGCTTGTACTGAAACCTTAACTTCTGACTCCAAGCTTGTATGTGGCTGTTACTTGGGGCTTCCTGTCCACACAAGGCTCCATCTTTCCATCCATTATTCCTTTGACAAAGACACACAGCCCAAGGCCCTGGATAGGAGAGTTATGCCTGTGCCCTAGAAGATAGTTGGCACTAGGGACTAAAGGTGACAAGAGTACAGTTTTAGATGCCCCACTGTCTGTCTCACTCAGTTTTCAGGACCAATCAGATACAGGATGTCCAGATGCTTATTAGGACCTAAGACTCCTGCCCCCAGTACTTACCTTCTGTTGGGGATGGTAGGCTAAAGCCTGAAGATAGATGACTGAATGTCCCTTATGTGCCTACAGATACCCGGGACTACATCTGTGAATTCTGTGCTCGCTCTTTCCGTACTAGCAGCAACCTTGTCATCCACAGACGAATCCACACAGGAGAGAAGCCCCTGCAGTGAGTGCCAGGGGCCATGGAGGGAGCTGGTATCTGGCAGCCAGGAAGTGGGCAGCAGAAACTCCAGGGAGGTGAAGGTGGACCAAGGCTTCTTCCTGTCTCTGGCTGCAGGTGTGAGATATGTGGGTTCACTTGTCGTCAGAAGGCCTCTCTAAATTGGCACCGACGCAAGCATGCAGAGACTGCTGCTGCCCTGCGCTTCCCCTGTGAATTCTGTGGCAAACGCTTTGAGAAGCCAGACAGTGTGGCAGCTCACTGCAGCAAAAGCCACCCAACCCTGCTCCCCACACAGGAGTCACCTGGCTCTTTGGAGTCTAGTCCTAGTGTCTCTGCTGCTGAACCCCTGCAATCTCCTGAGGGGCCAAGCCTTTCCTCCTCTTCTGACTCTAATCCTGCCCCTTCAACAGCCAGCTCTTTACAACCTGGGGTTCTAGACCCCAGGGATTCAGAGAAAAGTCAGATGGTGGTCCCCAGGAACTAGGTGTTAGGAGTGAAGTTGAAGGTAGGGCATGACTGGGCTCTAGACTTAGCCTTCCTAAAGGAAACAATAAATGGTTTTTTTTATACAAGTGTGGGCACAGCATATGCTTTGGTGCTACAGATTTAAGATTCTGGCAATCTTTGGAAAACAGATGTTAGCTGTGCCAGAGTGCAGCACAGAAGCTGACCCCATTCATATGCCCAATTTCTTTCTAGACTTTATCTGCCATGGTACTAGGGGCAGGCTGGACCAGGAGGCAGATGACTGTCTGTTGTCTAGCATTTGCCTCTAGCTGAGCTCTGCAGTTTGGCCCTCTGTTATAGAGCCAAGCCCTACAGCAGAACAACTGAACTAGCCTACAGTAGATGGGCTTTTGAGGTAACTGGACTGTAGGTCATGACTTGTCAATGAGTTGATCCTTTGATAAGTTCATAGCAGAAGGCCTATTAGGCAGTGAGGCCACAGTCCCTGAGGAAGTGCTTTTGAAGGGTACTCTGGTTCTGTATCCTTCCTGTATTTCCTTGCCCCGAAGTAGTTGGCCTCCCATGCCTTTACACTTTGCTTCAGGCTCACAGAAGTGGAACAAGTTGACAACAAAATGACACTATTGAAACCATGAGCTAAAATAAATCTTTAAGTTGATTTTCTCAGGCATTTTGTCATAGCAATGAAGAAACCACCACCAAAAGGGACAAGAACATGAAATTCATTTTGACAAAGGGTTTCTTGGTGTCACAAACCCAAACAAGTAACAATTTTACCAGCTATAAGCAGTCATTGACCGATTCCAGGCTTTATATCCTGCCCTTGCCCAGGACTCCAGGGAACTTGTTTCCTCGTGCCTTGAAGCTTCATCTGGAAATACCATTCTTTTGTTTCATATGGTGTCACTGGGCTTTATGGACCCATACAGTCTCAGGCTGCATCCCAAGGCAAATATTTCTTACCTGGCTAGAGAAAACTGTCCCAAGAGCCATTTATTGGAAAAAAAGATTACTTCTTTGTGTGTGCACATGTGCCATGACACATGTGGGTTCAAGGGGTCAAATTCAGGTCATCAGCTGGTGCCTTTACCTGCTTTTACCTTTTCAAGGGAGTAACTTGCAACAGATCTTGGACCTTTAATGAAGGGAACTATTCAACCCTTCCATACTGCCTTTGTTTCACCTCTGCAACTACGTGTCTCAAGCAAGAGAAAGTAGGAGTTATTAACAGGCAGATGCGAAGACACCTAACTGACCAAATATGTTGCCCGAAGAGCCAGGAAAGAAACTGAGCTCAGGCTCACACAACAGAGAGCACAGTGGCAGCAACAGGGCACGTCTAGACATCTGGTCTGTCTTGCATAGGGGTTTGTTTTTGGCTCCCTGACTCATGGTACTCAGAGTTGGGGAACATAAGGGTGGATGATGTTAGAGCTAGTGGGGATCTTGGTTTGGAGGCAAGGCAAGCTAAGCTAGGTAAATACCTAACAACAATGCAACAGCAGTAGGTCTGGCTTCCAAACCATCTGATATGCCCTTTTCCTTGGTGCTGAATGTGTGTTCACCCAGCTATCTCACAGGGCCCTCTTAGCAAGTTTCCTGAAATGGAGACATTAAAAGCTCTGATTTCTCCTGTTCTGTTGGCCCTGTGAGGGCAAGGGGAGGACCCACTGTCACCTCAGTGACTACAGTGGTGGTAGTAGTGGCTGCCACTGCAGCTGCTCGAGCACGTCTGTGGGACCGCTGGTGCTGTGACAGTGACCGGCCGTGGCTAAAGAATTTGCCACACTCCGTGCACTCTGCTGTCCTCTCACCTAGGTGTGTTTTTCTGTGCAGTGCAAGCTTGGAGGCAACACTGAAGGACTTGCCACACTCTGGGCACTTGTGTGGTTTATGACCTGCATGATTGCGCAAATGCACATTGAGGTTGGAGATGCAGGTGAATCGCTTGCCACACAGCTCACAGTGGTAAGGCTTTTCCCCAGTGTGTGTGCGCAGGTGTTTGGTGAGGTCTGAGCGGTCTGTGAAGCCTCGTCCGCACTCTGGGCATGGGAAGGGCCTCTCCCCTGTGTGGCTGCGCTGGTGTACCACAAGGTCATATCGCTGTCCGAAGCCCTTGCCACAAGTGGGGCACACATGTGGTCGTTCACCCTGGTGGCTGCGCTGGTGGCGCAGCAGGGTGGAGCTCTCACTAAAGCAGCGTCCACAGTCGCTACATGAGTATGGCTTTTCCCCGGTGTGTGTTCGCTGGTGCCGCACCAGCGTGGCACTCTCCAAGAAGCCCTTGCCACACTCTGGGCACTTGAAAGGCTTCTCCCCCGAGTGCCTCTGGAGATGTCGTGTGAGCGTGGAACTCTTGCCGAAGCTCTTACCACACACACTACATTGGTGGGCCTCAGCGCCTGGGTCGCTGAGGCTGAGGACTACGTGGATGCGGGAATGGTTCCGTAGCCCAGCACTACTACGGAAGGCTCTTGGACACTGTGTACAGTGGTGGAGCGGGCTGGGGGAAGGGGCAGTGGTAGTGGTAGTCTCTGGGGGATGCGCCCGAGCCAGGTGAAAAGGAAGAGCACTCTGCCGAAAGGTGCGGGCACACAGTGGGCAGCGGTGGGGCTTCTCAGGTGGGTGCTGATGGACCCTGGGGAGCAGCAATGCAGGGATGTGAGGGAAGCGGCGGCCGCAGAGGCGGCAAGGGCAGGTGCGGCTACGCCTCCTGTGCGTCCCTAGGTGCAGGTCCAGCAGGCTGTTGTGATTGAAGCTCTGGCCACACTCACTGCAGACATACAGGGTCTGGCCAGCATGGGTCTGCCTGTGTGCACGCAGGTCTGAGGCTCGAGCATAGCGTTCACCGCACTCTAGACAGCGGAAACGCTTGTCACCACCATGGGCACGTTCATGCCGCAGCAGCACTGCACTGTACCGAAAGCTCTTGCCACACACACTGCAGGAATAAGGCCTTCCCCCAATCGCTGCCAAGCCAGGTACTGTGAACATGATGTCTACCTTTTCCAGCCAATAATTTGCAGTTTTAAGGCCTGGAAAATACCAGTGGGAAAAGGCTGTGGTCTTGAAAACTGGTGGGCAGATTCTTGGTTTCTTTTTTCAGCAGATGTCCTCACTGTCCCAAAGGCAGGTAGCAGCTGTATTCATCACTGTGATCCCTGTAGGGAGGTTACCCTCAGTTCAGCACTGGCTGCAACAGCTCTGGCTGGGGACACAGAAAAGGCACCTTGAACTCCCTAGGCCTGTAATGTATTAGCTAGTGTAGCTCTCAAGAGAGGAAAACCACACAAGTCTCAGAAATTCAGAGGAGTGTCTCTGTAGTGCCTGGAAAGGAAAGAGTGACTGATCACACCTGTCCAGGAAAGAAGCAGGTATGGATTTCAAGGAATGTGTATGGGGGGAGTTCTTTACTAGAACTGGGAACACTTAGCATTGCTGGAGAGGCTAAGAGGGAAGTGCCCAACCTGTTTTCTGGTGTGGTTGAAGCCCCTGGGGATTTCTCATTGCCTGGCATCCCCCCTTGGTCATTTCCTAATGCATCCCCTATCTACCAGAAAATAGTTCTGGCACAGGTGCCGATACAATGGGTGCCATAGCTATACTGATGTAAGGATCATACCTCATAATATATGTCCTGGGCTAGTGACAAATCCCAGGTCCCGAGGGAAGAGTCATTTATAAAGACAAACAGTTGAGAGATCAGTCTGCCTTTGTTTTTATAGGCATGGGACATCACACAATCTCTAGTTAAGTGTGCTCTTGGATCACTGAGGAAAAGCAAACAAAATGGCCAACAGTCATTTTCTTGTGGGAAATGGAAATCTATCCTAAAAGTCCAGCAGTGTTGGCTTGGCCAAAGAACCCATGGACTGGGCATCTACTTCTGTATGTAAGTAGATGAAATGCTTGGCCAACAGCAAACCTGAGCAAACTCTGTATCTGCTGATTCTCCATGATGGGTAGAAGGACCACCAGGGATATGTTCCTCTTGTTCCTTTTCTTTTTTTGGTTTTTCAAGACAGGGCTTCTCTGTGGCTTTGGAGGCTGTCCTGGAACTAGCTCTTGTAGACCAGGCTGGTCTTGAACTCACAGAGATCCACCTGCCTCTGCTTCTCCAGTGCTAGGGTTAAAAGGGTATGTCACCACACCAAGCAGGAGGAGTGTATTTCTTAAATAGTTATTTCCAAACATCAAAACTGGGGCTGGGGCAGGGTGTTGGTGGCGCATGCCTTTAATCCCAGCACTCGGGAGGCAGAGGCAGGAGGATCTCTTGGAGGTCGAGGCCAGCCTTATCTCCAGAGCAAGTGCCAGGATAGGCTCCAAAGCTACACAGAGAAACCCTGTCTCGAAAAACCAAAACCACCACCACCACCACCAAAACAAACCAAAAAAACCAAAACTGGGGCTGGAAAGATGACTCAGCTGTTAAGAGCACAGGCTGCCCTACCCCAATCTGGACTATTTTACACCCCAGACACTTTATTCAAAGACAATTTTTAAGTCCTGCAAAGCATGGGCACCTTTGCAGCCACAGAGCAGAATTCAGAGTGGTTAACTCTGAATCCTCTGGGGGATGGGGGGCTTTGCTCCTATTTTTTATTTAATTTTAACATTTATCTTATGTTTGTTTATGTGTATGCATATGTACCTGTTAAGGATATATGCATGAGAGTGTAGGTACCTAGAGACTAGAGGAGGGTATCAGATCCTCTGGAACTAGAGTGACAGGTAGTTCTGAGACACTTGAAGTATGTGCTGGAAACTGAACTTGGATCCCATAAAAGAGCAGTATGTACTCTTTCTGAGCCACCTCTCCAGCCCCTTATTTTTTATTTTTGAGTCAGGTCCTCATTATGTTGCCTAGGCTGGCTTTGAACTCGCCTCTACCTCCCGAGTGCTAGTCATTTAAAGGAATATTTGCATCATAAGACTAAAACCCAGTGGCTAGTTTCAAATGTCCAAGAACAACACTGACTCTGTGAGGCTGGCATCTCTCAGCCAGTGCTTCTGGGAGCTCATTCTCTCCTAGGCCAGTGCTTCCCAGGGAACACGCCAAAGGAAAGTAACCCAAACACACAACACATATATGCATACAAAAGGCAAAAAAAAAAAAAAATCATCTCTTCAATGGATGGGACATGAGTGTAGGGTGTAAGCTTGCTGCTTGGCACTTTCACATCTTCCTTACCTCATCCCATTATGTGAGCAAAGAGGTCTGTTTCTGGAGTAGAAACCTGTAAAAAACAAACAAACAAACAAACAAAAAACCAATGCTTAGAACACTTAGAAATCACCCTAAATATCACTGACCTGAGAGTGAGTCCTTTTAAATAAAATTATTTATTTTTTAAAATTTAACTTCATTGTCTCTTTGGGAGTGTCCCATTATGCACCCCAATTTTACTCACCTCCTGGTCCCCCCATATTCTCCCTTCACCCCTCACAAAAGAAAAATAAAGTAAGCAAGCAAGCAAAGTAAAAAACAACAACAAAATCCCTGTTTCTGTTTCTTTCCTGCCTCCCCAACACTTCTTCATTTGTCCTGGTGTGGCATTGGAGGGTTTCATGTATCATATAGTATATCCCTTTGTCCCACTAGCTTTACTAGCAAATGTTCATTGCAATGAGTCACTGGTCTGGTGCAAGGCCTCTGGTTTCTGGTATACCATCATCACTGGATCCTCACCAGAACTCCTCTGGGATATCCTATGGGTATCGTTCCACATGACCAGTCTTTTCATGAGCTCCAACAGGTCCTAGATGGTAGATACTAGGCTGTGGGCCTGGATGGTAGTTGAGCTGGTCAGTCCAGGCCACTGGGGCCACCCACCTTGGGCGAGGGGGTAGAGTCAGCTCTCCTACACGCATGCCCTCAGGGCCGGTTCAGCCTCACCTGTGGTGAAGGGTGTGGGCCATCTCTCCCAAGTACAGGGACCTGCTCTCTTGCTGTTGTGGACATTGAGAGGCAAGGCCAGCTTTCCCAGGGCCAGCAAAGGGTGGGGCTGACTCAGCATGGCCCTGCTTTCACCTTACATAGTTCCTAAGGCCTCCTGGGGTAACAAAGGCCACAGACATCTATGAACACTCCAGCTGCAGCTGGACCATGGATCTGTCATGGCCCTCGGAGGCAGTTTGGGGCTGGATGACATCCTGACTCTGCTTGCAAGGGCTACTCAGGTGGCCACCAGATACCACCAAGATCTCAGGTTGCAGCCCCAACCCTGTGCCTCTATGTGACCTTTGATGGCAATACAGGACCCAGACTTAAACCTGACCCCAACTGGGGTAGGACCACAAACCCCAACATGGTCCTCAAGAGCAGCTGGTATGGATGTCACCACTGCCCCAGCATCAGTATGGCCCTAAGACATCAGCACAGTTGCTGTAGGGCCACAGACGCTGACATTGCCCTCAGCTGCAGCTCTGGCTCAGATATCACCATTACATTAAGAAGCAGTGCAGACCACTCAGTTCTGCATGCATCCTGGCCCTCTGACACCAACCTGGACTCAGGTGGCTGATCTGACCCTGGGCATCCTCATGGTGCTCGGTGGCAACACAAGCTACATGTCAATAGGACTAGCTGTATAAGGGCCAGGGAACCAGACATGGTTCTTGGGCAGCATCCTGGGACTGGATGACACCATCCTTGGTGAGGGCCATTATGCTGATGTGGAAAGACCACAGAAAGGACAAATCAGGAGAGATCAATTACGAATTCTTAATGATTTTCAGAAATTAACTGGCTACAGTCCACAACTAGATTGACAACTCAAGAACTAAGTAATTTATTTCAAACCTTACAGGTGATAAGGACTTAAATAGTCCAAGAAAATTGTCAGCTGAAGCTGGATGAGAATTGGCTTTGGCAGAAAAATTACAGGATGCACATGTGGACCATGTAGACCCACAGCTTAACTGTATTCTGGTTATTTCACCTTCTACACATTCTCCTACTGGAATTCTGGTGCAGAGAGAAGATAATATCTTAGAACAGATATTTTTACCACACAAAAATAAAAAAATTAAAGACCTATGTAGAAAAGGTTTCTAAGTGGATTCTGAAAGGAAAATGAAGACTTCAACAATTAGCAGGAATAGACCCAGCAGAAATGGTGGTACTTTTTACGAATGCTGAAATGTCCTCATTAAGGAGAGAAAACAAACACTGGCAAAAAGCTCAAAGTAATTTTTTGGGAGAGATTAACAACATATATCCCAAAGCAAGAGACTTCAGTTTATAATGAGAACTAATTGGGTCCTTCCTCACATTGTAGGGGGAACACCAATTTCTGGAGTCCCTCGATTCTATCCTGATGCAAACAAATCAGGAAAGGCCAGTTACAAATCAGAAAATTTAAGTAGAGTGACTAAAGCCCTTATGATTCTGTTCAAAAGTCAGAATTATATGCTATTTTCATGATGTTATTATATTTTCCAGAACCTTGACTCTCGATATGCAGAAAGGTTTACATATTGAAACTGCTGAACTTATTCCAGATGATTCAGAATTGACTTTGTTATTTATTCAATTACAAGAAATAGACAGAAATAGAAACCATCTCTTGTATATAACACATATCAGATCCCATATGGGTCTACCAGGCCTTCTAGCCCAAGATTATGATGAAATTATCAGCTATTGGTAGGAAATATGCTGGAAGCCTCACAATTTCAGAGGAAGCACCACGTTAATAGCAAGGGTTTGGAAAAAAAAAAATTCTCTTTTGGCAACAAGCCAAGGAAATTAAAGGAACTGTCCTACTTGTTTTTTGTATAACCAAACTTCACTACCTACAGGAAGTAACCCAAAGGTTATTCAAACAAATGAAATTTGGCAAATGGATGTGTTTCATTTTTTGGAGTTTGGAAAATTAAAGTATGTACACCATACCACAGATACATACTCAGGATTTCAATGGGCAACTGCTTTGAGTTCTGAAAAGGCTGATTCTGTTAACTATACATTTATTAGAAGTTATGGCCATCATGGGGATACCTGTATAAATTAAGACTGATAGTGCTCCAGGATATGTCTCCAGTAAAATGGAAGGTTTTTTTGCATATTACAACATACAGCATGTTACAGGTATACCAAACAATCCTAAAGGGCAAGCAGTTAGTTATAGTAAGATCTAATCGAACACAAGAGGTAATAAAGACCCCCAGAGATAGATTGCACAACGCTTTATTAACTTTAAATTTTCTAAATGCTAATGAGAAAGGAACAACAGCTGTGGAGACATTAGATGGTAGAAAAAAACTGAATTAATTCAGCCTGTATACTTTAAAGATGTTTACCTCAGAAAAGAAACCAGGATATGTGTTATGTTGGGGAAGAGGTTTTGCTTTTGTTTTCACAGGAGAAGAAAACCTATGGATACCATCTAAACTGATAAAGCTTAGATCTGAACAAGAGAGACCTCTTGATTAGAAGAGGCAATAATTCGTCAGACAGCATAACCATTCAATATAAACTAACTTATAAGACTAACAAATGCTTTTCATTTGATCAGATATAACTTGCCAAAAGGGAACCTCCCCAAAGTTAGGGTTGAGGTAGAGTTTTGTTTTTGTGTTTCCAGGAGAATGAAGGCATCTGACTAAGGAATCTGAAGACCACTGGACAAATGAGACATCTGAAGAAAAAGGTCGAATCATTCAGAGAAAATGTCTCAAGAAAGAGTAAATAGGCCTACTCATGTATCACATTTCCAACAAGATAAAAGTTCATAAATCTTTCCAAGTATTTGTTTCTGCTGTTCTCTACAGATATAAAGTGCAAATGGTCTTTTTATAGTCCCAGTTCAATTAAAGGGAGTGTAGCTCTCTCTTTCTCTAAACCCAAGCATGATTGTCAAAGAAAATCCAAAATCTATGTCTCATGTGAGAAGAGCCACCTGACATGGGAGAGAGAAAAAAAAAATCAAAATTAAGGAGTAAAACCAAAATTCTTTGGTTTTACTTTGGTTCTCTAAAACTTTTCTTCTTTTTTATTTTAGACAGGGTTTCTGTGTATCCTGGCTGTCTTGGAACTCACTCAGGCTGGCCTCAAACTCAGAGATCCAGTTGCCTCTGTCTCCTAAGTGCTGGATTAAAGGCATGCACCACCACTGCCAGGCCAAAACTTTTCTTAAGGTATAAATATTATCTCAAAATTTATAAGATTAATATATATTTACATTAAACTTTTTGTTATCATATTAATGATCATATAGAGTACTAACTCTAAAAAAAAAGCTTCATCTAGCTTTCTGTACATGATTTCGGGTTTGAGTGTCTATCAGGTAGTTAGGAATTAAGCTTGTACTCTGGATGTACTTAACAAATTGTGGTCCTTTAACCTCTTTGAGATCTGCTGAATGTGACAATTAAAATGTTTAAAAGTTTAAAAGTTTTCTGCAGTGAACCATGACCATTCCTAACAGTGATTCTTGAAGTCTCCAAAAGGAGGATGGGCCCCACAACGATGATTCCACCTGGATTGTGGTAATGCCACCAAGCTAACAAACACCACTTAAAGATAGGCTTTGGACTATGAACTACTCAGGACATTTTCAAGGTGGCTAGCTGAAATGGTTCAGCCACACTGACCATTATAGCCAGGACTTGAGATAAGCCCTACACTTTCACATTACATAGAGACTAGACAATAAATGATACAACTAACTCTCCCAGGACTTGGTAATTATCCCATTTTTTTTCAGGGTCCCCTAAAGATGTCCCCAGACAACAGGAAGTAATTTTAGGAACACAATGCCCATATTCCCAAGAGGTGGAGTGGGCGGTTTTTGGTCATTCAATGGGTTATTGATATTTGTCATTGGTTACAAGTTGTTATTGGTAATGGTCAAGAAAAAAGTTGAACAAAGATTAGAATCAGGGATCTTGTTCTGAAAAGAAAACGGGGGAATATAGAAATGATAGGATAAAAGGGTATTTTATTGAGCCTAATTCCCCCCCTCCCCCAAGACAGGGTTTCACTGTATTGTTTTGGAGGCTGTCCTGGAACTCACTCTGTAGACCAGGCTGGCCTTGAACTCATAGAGATCCACCTGCCTCTGCCTCCCGAGTGCTGGGACAAAAGGTGTGCGCCACTAGCGCTATTAGTCTTAAATATTTTACACTGGTATGGATTTTTGTATATTGATATAAATTTGAGGTTATTTTTGTTATACTGCATACAAGTTTAAGAGCAGAAACATGTATACAGTATAATACAAATTTAAGGCTATTTTTTGTTAGAATCTACTGTACCTACATTTCTACTCATCTAAGGTATTGTACATATACAGCTCATTCAACAACGTAACATAAATTTCTAGTCCTTGAAAGTTATTACAAACTATTTAAGGTAATAAAGAAACACAGGTTAGTAGTTAGTCACTTATTACAATCAAACTTGTAGTCATGTTAGGTATCTTTTCAAGGTCAAATATGTATTTTAGATAGACAGGTGGCCTTCAAACACTTCAGAAATCTATAGTATAAGGTGTTTAAAATGTTTTAATAACATAAGGTTTTTTATGACAATGAGACATTTCTGCTCCTGGTAGCACCAATCTACTTCAAAAAAGGATGATGGACATCAAAGAAACTCTACATGGAGTTTGGTTTCTTTGTGGCAAAAGTTAGCCACTGGGCAAGAAACTGCCCTTGCTTTGACTGCTGATAGTATGGTGTCCAAATTGGACAAGCAGGACACAGAAGAATGTAACTGCTGAACTTTCCCAAGACAAGTGGAACAGTCCTTCAAAATTCCAGAAAAGTCTGTCAGATATTCTAAGCCTACAGGCTGAAGATGAATGCCCCAACATTATAGAGAAACCTTGGGTGGCTGTTCAGGCAGCTAGCTTTTTCTGTAATTTCTTAGTTTTAGAGTTGTTTGCTCTGTACTTCTTATTTACTCAGGTAATATATCCTTCTCAGGTCTCTGATGGAGTCGAAGACTAGATAGTTTTCCTTATTACCAAACTCAGAAAAGAAACTCACAAAAGAGGTGTAAATTATGTAAGGTTGAGAGACATAAAAAGTGTTTTGGGTTGGTAATACAAGTTAGGATACAAAGTAAATTAAGTATAACACTTTGGACTCACCAAAATAGGATAATAAAGTATTTTCTCTGAATTTGTCAAATGCAAATGTACTGGACATTTTTAATGTAATTCTTACCTGTATCTATTTGTATAGTTATTGTACTTATTGTTTATAGTTTTACTACATAAGTTAAAATCTTCCTTTTTGTTTCTTTTACGACAAAAAGGGAGACATATGTTGTGATATTCTGATTGTGTTCTGCCAAATAAAGTTGGCTTGAAGTCAGAGGGTGGAGATAGCTACTAGCTGACCAAACTAACCACAGAGTTTTTGCAGGGCAGTAGACAGACTGGACAGGAAGTAGTAAAGTGGGGCAGAGAGGGTCTTGACCCTTTTGGAGGAAGGAATGGAGCAGGTAGGAAAGGACTGGTGGCTTCTCTTCTCCTTCTCTTCTCTTCTCACCCTGATTCCTGAATTTTTATTGATAAAGAATATAATCAGAATAATGCTCACCCAAGATTCAGGTACATTCATCTTAGGGCCCTGGCCAGGAAATGAAACTCAAATGATAGACAGGAACTAGGAGGAGGAATGGACTGTGGCTCTCTCTAGGGAAGTGACTCTTCTGTTGGATTCTTCCTACCTCTGAGAAGCGGAAAGACACTATTGTCCCAAAGGTACTGTGTCCCTGACCCCTGAAATTAGGTAGAGGCCAATTACCCATTCTTTATTGGGTAGTATGTCAGTAGAAAGATTTATGGCCAGTGTGACATATTCAAGGAGCTGGCAAAAATAGGAGTGACAAATGCTTTCATCTCAAGAACCAAGTCTGATCATAATCCAAATCTGAATCCAAAGTTTTTCTTTTACAAAGACTGAGATCTGGGAAGGTTAGAGATTAGTATGTAGGTAGGGAGACAATACAGACAGCAAGAGCTTATCCTCTGTCTCTAACAAATGGGCAAAACTGAAAGCTAGAAATCTCAGAACAGGGAGAACATGGGAGAAGAGACTAGTAGGTCACTTGTATCTTTTCTGGGAGCTCCGATGAATTGGACACAAGTAACACACTCTAGGCTGTAAAATATGATGTGGAATCATGTGTCAATTAACAATGTGATGAGTCCAGAAAATGTGGGCTCGTCACTGTAAGCATCACACAATTTACTTATACAAACTCAATTATGACAGTACCAGGTGATCCAATCTTAAGGGATCACCAACATACAGATTAAAATGCCATTTTGTGGCAAGTAGTTGTATTAGTCTAGTATCCAGCTCTTTCAAATCTCATCCCCCCCCCCCCCCCCCCGGGGGGGGGGGTGGGGTGGTGTGGGGGGTGTTTGCGGGTGTGGGTGTGTGTGTCTGTCTGTCTGTCTTGGATAGCTGAGTTGGGTTTGAACTGTGGAGTTCCCTGAAAAAGCTACATATATGCAAAGTGATTAGAACTTGCATGATTATGAAGACTTGGGAATGCAGCAGATAGAGAGCCCAAAACATCTTGTGTCATCTTTAGTCCTTGTAATAGCCATTCATCACCCACCTCTGCATCTGACCTAAGATCCTTTACAATGTATCAATTTAAGAGACTGTTATTTTCTAACTTAGAAGCTAAGTATGTCACCAGATAGCATCTAAAACCTATAGCATGGGCGGGTAAGATGGCTCAGTGATTTTAACAGAGCCTATTGTTCTTGCAAAGGACCAAACTTTGGTTGGTTCTGAACACCCACATTGGGTGGCTCACATGCCTATAACTGCAGCTCCAGGGGGCCTGATGCTTTCTTCTGACCTCCATGGGAGAGTTCATGTATACACACACATACACATACACTCAACCACATAAATAAAGCTAAATCTTAAACAAAAATCAGTCTTCCCATCCCTTTTATTTGCAGGTTTTTCTCATCTGCTACCTTTATTTTAGGGAATACTTTTTTTGTAGACAAGGTCTCATGTAGCTGAAAGCTGTCCCTCAAACTTGCTACCTGATCATGGTGGCTAATAATACAGGAACTTGTTTGTTAAGTTTGTCTCTTTTTTTTTTTTTTTTTTTAAAAAAAAAAAAAAAAAAAAAAACCAACTGCTACTCTGAGGCTGCAAGACTGGTAGGGGTGATAAATTTTTCTTGGGTGTTTTTTCCTTTTTTTGCAAGACAGGGTTTCTCTGTGTAGCCTTGACTGTCCTGGAACTTGCTCTGTAGACCAGGCTGGCCTCTGACTCAGAGAGTCAGCGTGCTCCCACCATCTCCATCAGCCTTAGTAGTCATTTATCTCTCACCTCTGTATCTAACAGCCTTTGAACCATCAGGTAAAGCCTTTGGAAGACATTAACTTACACCATTAGCTCCCACTAACCTGAAAGCTAAGACTATAAACACACAGCATCTAAAACTTACAGCAGCTATCTCCCCAATTCTGCTGTAGCCTGCCTACATCTTACATTACCTTTGAAGAATCGTTTGATGTTGACAAACCTGCTTAGAAGGACCAGAAAGGCAAGCTTCCAAGCTCTGGCTCTTCCATGATTAATTGTGCGACCTTGAGGACAGGACTTAGGTTACCTGTCTCTATAACCTGGGATAACTCAATACAGGAAACCAGTATAGTTTTCTATGAAAAGCAAAAGAACAAAGCAGCCATAAACCTGAGAGAACAGAAGTT